CTAGTACTAAGTATACCATAGGGCCGAAGCAACTGTGACCTATTTCATCGCTCAATGTTGCAAGAGAGACTTCCTCAAAGCCTTTAGTAATAAAGAATAATGCAGTTCATCATATTAAGTATGGAGTAATCAATACGATTTCTATGTGTCGTTGTCGTTGAAGTAGAAATGCTAAGAGTATTTTCAGAGTGTAATAAAAAATAAAATAACTTACTTAAAACTATATCAAAGCTATGCCGACATGTACATATTATATCTATACTAATATATAAAGCTAAAGAGTTTGTTTGTTTGGCCGCGCTAATCTCAGGAACTACAGATTCGAATTAAAAAAATATTTTTGTGCTGGTTAGAGCATTTATCGAGGAAGGCTTCAGGCTATAAACCATCGTGCTGCGACTGTGAAAGTATGATTCCTCTTGAAAAGATAAAAAAATGCCCGCAACACTATATGTCTATCACTATATTTTAAGAATAACTTAGAAGAACGTCGGGACGCGACAGACGTCGTGTGTCGATCGATTCAGCCGTTCGGTGTCCATTGCTGGACACAGACGTCGTGTGTAACAGCTTAAAAATATAAAGATAAGGAGATTTTGAAAAATGATTTTTAAGCCCAAAATAACTATTCTACGAAAGAAGTCGCTGACACAGGTAGTCAGAAAATGAGCATATCGTGTATGTTCTTGTTTAATTTTTTTTTAAAATCTTGCGAGACAAATAGTGATAATAAAACAACATAAAACTAAAAAGTATAGTTCGTTATTTAAAAATACCCTTACGAACATAGAAAAACGTAATGGGAACGAGATCTTAGCTTAAGATTTTTATAGCGCTTAAACTTATTTGTTGACGGTACGATGTGCAATTACTCACTAATTCAATAGAAATACATACATTTGACTAATATCACTTATATTTAGATTTAATGTTGGCTCCGAGGTGGGGTTATACTAGAGTGTCTATATTTTGAGGTTTTGAGTAGTTAAAATGTATCGCGACAAAATAATAAAGAAACTATATAACAATGATCTCTTCCGTAGCTCAGTATTAAAGCGCATAGAATAGAATTACATGAAGTACGGTTCATATTCCAGAGAAATTTAAAATGTTTCGGTCTGAGCACAGATCAATTACTTGCTTGAAAATAAAGTGAAACGTATGAATGTGTTTTCCCTATAGGGGGCAACGGGATTTTCATTTTAGTTAACATTTTTTATTTTCACTTAAAGACTTTTTTTTATATAATATAACTATTTCGTCTTTTTTTGCAGTTTTTCATATACTACTGATAATTTGCAAACTGTTTTTGTGCAAATTTTCCTGTTTAACTCTATAAATTTAAGATGTTTATCTTACATGACATGACATGACATACACTGTCCCGGACTTTTTCCATCATCAAGGAGGAATCATTCTTCCATACATATTTTTTTGGGTATAATAGCAGTGTAGTCACAGCGATATGTTTATAGCCTATAGCCTTCCTTAATAAATGTTCTAACCAACACAAAATAATTTATATTCGAACCAGTAGTGCCTGAGATTAGCGCGATTAAGCAAACAAACTCTAGCTTTATATATTAGTATAGATTACATCAATATAGTTTAATAGAAATACAATTTTACTATAACTTAGCATTACCTAAAAAAAATTCAAACAATGCCAAAATTAAAGACTTCTTAGTAAAGACTTATTTCCTTTTTAATCATTTACTTTTGCAAAAAATCTGTAATTAATAATAAGATTAAACCTAGAGTTTCAGCGTATATAAGCCAACCAATAAATAATAGGGAAGGTAAAGTAATAAAGTAAGATGCACACTTATACAACATATAACAAAATTTTCTACTAGTCCGAAAAATCGTAAGATTTAGCTTACTTAATGTCCATTAGAGTTGACAACTGAACGATCGCGATCGAATGTGGTTGTTGTATACTACTTCTATAATCGGTATATCTATGCGCCGAGAGAAATTGCTCCCGTTTCTTCCGATCTGGAAAGCTTAGGAGCACAACGAATCCCTAAAATATCAACCCAATTCCTTAAAATCGAAGTAAGGCACATTAATATACTTATCTAAATGGAACAAGATGAAGTCTGAAATAAACCGATAAAGTGCTAATTGAAGTCACACAAGACAAGTTCAATTTTTGATTAATGTAATGTAATCTAAATTTTACTTAGCACACTTCTTTTTATGATAGAGGAGGATAAATAAGCATGGGGTCCAGTTGATGGTTGGAGAAACACCCCAGCCTATTTTGACTTTGGATTGTCGGAAATCTACAGACTGAAACCGGAACGCGACTAAACTTCATGGCGTTTTCATCTGTCGTGGTTTAAACCCGGACGGAATTTTGAATATTCCTACCACCCATTTGATGTCCGGATTTCCTGACTAAATTAAATATGTCTCAGAAAAATTATAATTTCAAAAATTAGCAACATGTTGGACCCGAGTCTATCAAATGACCCGTTGATTTTTAGCCATTGCTACCATTAGTTTAACAAGCTTTTAAGAAAAATAACAATATTGTTCTTGTGCTGGTGCAATAACGGATTTTGTTTATTTATTTTAAAGTATGAAGTTATAACATTAAGGAATTTGATTTACATGCTTAGATTGCACTGCTTTTTCGTAAAATAGCATCTATAGAATATGATGAATTGTGTTTAATTTGTACTATCATGTGCCGTTCTTAAAAAGCTTTGCAGTGCTTATTGTAGTCATTTTGTCATTTAAAATACTATCCGCTATTGTTTGATATCGAGCAATAAGTAATCCAAAGTTAGGAAGTCCCTTTAAATTATTACATTACTCAAATTTTATTTTGTACTAAAAATAGAACCATGCATTAATGATATCGAACAGAGAAGAGCAAAAATGCTTTAGTCGTATTGCCCCGTTATATATCTATGTAATTTTGTTTCTATTTTTTGTCGTTACATCAAAACGTGGCAAAAAAAAACATAAATAGTGAAAATTTAAAATCTTCAGCAATCGTGGTTTTTGAAATACAGAGCGGCAGACCAATAGACAGCGAATTCTGAATTTGTTCCGTTAAAAAAACATCGTATTCCTTTAACAAACGAAAGTCCAAGAAATGTGCCTGCCAAAAGCGAACGGAATTGTTGATTGGAATTATGATTTCATCGTTAGATAGTAGAAACATAATATTATGTGTATTATATTATATATTATAAGCTTCTTGTTGTGTGGACGTAAACACGTGTTCTCAAAAAACCGGCAAAAAAAATTGTCAATTTGACAGTTTTTCCTTTTATGCCCTGTTCTTACAGTTAACATTTCGCTAAAAACCCGTATATCCTAATAATAATAATTAGTCAACTAGAAATGTCTAACCACCGGCAAATTTTGTTTCTAATAAAACGCGAGAAAGCTGCAGGGCGCGAAAAGCAATATTTCCGTTTTATTGGATCGATACGTGATAGAGTAATTGTTACCCAATTGTTTGAACTTCCGAAAGTCACTGAATAATTCAAAACACACGGAATTGCACTTACTATAAAATTCTAATTATATAGGTACGATATACGTTCCTTGAGTATATGCTATATAAGATATTGCGACTGTGTTCCTGGTTAATTTGTTAAATTTAAAAAAAGTATTCTAGTACTTTATTTATTACCGGGCTTAGTTAGTATGCTCGCGAGGTCCTATGTTCGAATCGTAGAGAAGGATAAGCACTGCCAGTTGGGTAGGACACTGATGGCTGACCAACTGTTTAGATAGAAATAAAAGCGATCGGCGGACGCAGAATATAATTTCTAGAAAACCAGGGTTTTCAGAAAAAAATATTTCATAAACATTTTATTGCATGGAAACCTTAAGTTTCCCTTTAACATCCGGGAATATTCATCTGGGTTCCGGATTACCGGTATCCATTCCACGACTTCCTTTCTCGGCTCATTTTTATTCGAATCCTTCTTCTAGTGCGAGTACAACAAATAAATTTCGGAAACATTATCTTAATAATGTTAATATGTCCGCAAAGGATTCACAGCATGGCTACCCTAATGATTCGTTGCCGAAGGGACCAACCCGCCCGGCCTCAGTCGGGGTAGAGACGCGGTCGCGGCGTCATCCGCGCCCCGTTCTCATTCACCATTCGCCGGTCACCGGTCACGTTCACTCGCTTTAATTGAACTAAATTAATTTATTAGTCGCGTTCTTGTTTTGCGTTATAGCTTGCGCTGACATATCAATATTATCATGGTGTATACATTCTAAAGCTTGGTCAGTAGAATTTTTGAATGGAAGAATGAGTTTAAAAGTGATACTAGTCAAATTGACATTATATTAAGCGTAGTACACACGCAACAGGTGCTAAATCACCGATCAATTAGCTTTGAGGCGTGTTTAAGTGAACTGTGCTGTTAATTTGTATACACTGGCTTCACGCGGATCATACAATGTTGTTATAGCATCTAGGTATGCGCTAAAGGTCTGAGAACTGTGCAGATGTGTCCATTGAAAGTGGGATGTCCACGTTCTATAGTATGCTAGGCCTAAAGTGACCTCATGGTTCGTTAATTGTTCTCTCAGTGCTTCAAAAACCTTTAACTGAGTAATTAATTATTTTTTCTATTACATAGACAGTAAATCGATGTCAATCTATGATCGCGATATTGGGGTCAGTCGGTCTATACATAGTATGATATAGAATGATAATTGCCAGTACCCGCTAATGAAGTAACGAAATTTGTGTTGCAATATTGTATGTAAATCAATGTAAAAATGTTTCCCTTTTTTTATAAAATTTTTGTTACTCTTTGTTTAAATTAAAGATGCCTATTGCGTTCTAAATAATATAAATGTGTGAATTTTAAATCCTTCAATTATTAAATAATCACATGAATTTCGCTAAATAATCAAATGATTACACACACACACAATCTGTCATAACAAACAGCAGAAATACAATTAGCGTGAGTGTGAATTACGAATTGAGAGTGTCATTATGAAGTGAAACGATGGCTGCGGTCAGTAGACACACGTCATACAACTGTCTGGCAGGATGGGATAGCTACGACAGGATACCGAGGTAGGTCTGTAACAAACTGTCTGTCTGTTTGTCTTGATATCAATTGATAGTTTTACCAGGACCCTTATTCTAGGCTACACATTTAGACACAGTATGAAGTACATATTTGTATAATGTAGGTACACATTTCGAATACATTTTTACGGTTTAAAACACAAAACATATTTAAATAATACACTTTAACGGTTTGAAACGCGAAATATATTAGTTAAACTTATTTGAAAATTATTTTCATTACGGCCCGACGTTTCGGATGCTTTGCAGCAACCGTGGTCACGGAGGGTGTGCCCAATCTCAAAGTCAAAACTGCTACGCGATTGCCATCTGTTGGTGATGGTAGGTACTACAGTTAAATTAAATTAAAAAAGTGTTCTATTTACATATGTGCAAGGTTAATATATATTTAAGCTTTATGTAAGAGTAATTAAGTATTTGTATGATAAAATAATCTGGCTTTTTATTATTAAGGACACCGTTTTAGAGAATAGTATGTAGACGTGTGTCTACAGAAAACCATTGGATACATCGCGTCATAATAAAAAAAACTACATTAACTGTTAATACTTTTCGTTATAACCCCTTGAAAATCGTTTTATTTATAACATAACACCAACCAGTGTTGGTACTGAATTCGATATCTCATTAACTTTACGTTTGAACCTGTTTAGAATATGCATATCATTAGACGATCGTTTAGCACTCGCTATTAATCACATGTTGCTCGACAAATAAAATCAGGTCACAGTTTATAATTCAAAGGTACCAGTAAACCACACCGGTAAACGCGAGGACACCGCTAGCCAGTTCTGCAAGGACCCAGATAGTTTCGCCAAATACTAACAACGACGGAACAGATGGCGCTTTGTCATTAGGGACACCCTCCATCTTTAATATCCCCATGACCATGGCTGCTGCAAAGCTTTCGATATGTCGAAACGGTATTTAAATAAAAAATAAGCAATAAGTAATATAATTAGCGTTTTAAACCGTTCAACGTGTGTGAAATTTGTACTACTCATTCGCTCACTGGCTCTCTGGTTAAAAGTGTATTGCCAAATAGTAGGGTCCTGGTTTCCAATCCAGGGGAAACAATCATTAGATATTATCTATAGATCAATTGGATACAAAAATGTGTTCATCCGACCTGCAAGGGCAAACGAGATTTCATACACAATTCGACTTAAATCATAAAACGCAAGCCTTGAGTGAAAATCAGCGTAAACTATCTTTTTTGCCTATCTATCTTTACTTTAATAGATCGCTCGTTACCGCTGCAAACATAGTTTTGCAAAGTAGTCGATTTTCATTACTTACACTTAGTTAAGCTTAATATGATTGATTGAGGAAAGTATAATTTGGTTAAATTAAAGATGGATTATTTATATGTTTTCTCGACGTAGATAAATAGGTAAAGGTGCTGCTCAGAGTTAGGTAATCGCGCCTGGTCCTGTGTTTCAATCACGGGAAACAAACCTGCTATATATGTAGTAATTTAATACTTCCATTAATATGTAGTAATTTTGCCAGCTCTTAGCAGTGATTATTTTTATGTATTATTAAAAAAACAAATATGTAAATGGAAACTTTAATCTCTTAATGGAATATATGCGGAATAAATTTAAAATTTTCATAATAGTTAACGTACTAGTTTTAACACCATATTTTAAATGTTTTTTGTACAAGAATTAAGAAGTGAAATATAATACTTCGAAACATTTAAATAAAACACTTTAACGGTTTAAAACGCGATATATTAGTTAAACTTATTTGAAAATGATTTTTAACTTAGTCTCCCCGTGACCACGGCTGCTGCAAAGCATCCGAAACGTCGGGCCGAAGTTAAAAATCATTTTCAAATAAGTTTAACTAATATATCGCGTTTTAAACCGTTAAAGTGTTTTATTTAAATGTGTACTACTCGCGTAAACTATAGACAGTACTTCGAAACATTTTAAGATTAAGTAACCATCAAAACGATTGATAATTAAAGTAATTCATTTTTTAAAAAAAATGCAAAAGCACTGACAAAACAAACCCACGAACGACCTGAGTCATCTATACATTCCAATTCAACTGCAACTATTTAAGTACAACGGTTTGAAACGTGAAATGTATTAGTTAACTTATTTTAAATACGATCCGTTTCTCTCGTGACGTAGTACGAAATTTAAACGTGTACTGCCCGCGTCTATACTACTCTTGCCTGTATACTGTAATACTGTGGTCACAACGAACGAACATTTTGACGCACGGCAAATGTTTCGAGTTACCTTTTTATGGCACCTTGTATGGAAACATGAACAGCGCTCTATCAGATGTCAAAGACACTAAATTTAAAAGCACAAACGCTTTCAGCCAATTATCGTAATGCAGATGTATCGCTACTATTCAAATGGTCTCTGTTAATTCTATGTATAAATTTGTTTGAATATGACGGAAACAAAAAAAGCGTGTCCTCCTTCTTCGATCTCAATTGTAAACCTTCACGGACCGTTAAATGTCAAAGTGTCAATTCTATGACGTATTAGAGAAAGCAAATGGACATCCGAGATGGAGAAGCGAACAAGCGGGACACAAAATGGACGGTGACGTGAAGCGTAATAAAATTGGAGAGGACCCACAGGGGGAAAAGTTCGCGTGAAGTTTTCCTGAGGCCGACAAAGTTACACTCAAAACTTATCATTTATGCAAACTGCACCTTAATAGTTTACGAGTGGCAATTCGCAGAGTGGTACAAGATACTCGCAAATAAAGCTATTTAAATTTAACCGCTTAACTGGTTTAAAAGGCGATTTATTTATTGGGTTAAATCATTTAACTTGTGGTCATAGCTGTTAAAAGATCTATCAAAATCAAAACTTTATTCGTACACTTATGAACATCAAAATAGTTAAAAATGTAAAACTCTTACGCGTAGAACGAACGAGAAGAACTGGCACGAAACTCGCCGCGACTCCTTTTTTTGACAACTTTTTGTTACAACCCTTAGGCACATAATGTGGACATCTTCCTTGTTAGAACTGGTCCTTTAATTATTCTTCTACTAAAGGCTTATATTATATACGCCAATTATATTTATTTTTACTTAAGTTAGTCATTAAATAAATTTAAAGAATACTATACATATACTCAATTATGAAATAACATCTTCAAGTCTGATTTTCTTTGAGCTATTCAAACGTTGAACAAATATTGCAAAGAAGTAAACATGCATTATCCTTTTATTATTTATAAAGTTGCATCTTTGTAAGATCAAATTAAACATAAGCCTTTACTATTCAGTGTGTTAACGATTTATATCTTGTTGGTATTTGATGTCTTTGTAAGTTAAAATTCTTGTTGACTTTTATTCGACTACTAGCTGTGCCCGCGACTTCGTCCGCGTGGAATTAGCTTAGGGGTAGAATTTTTAATTATTTAGGCTGTTTATTAATTTATGTAAGGGCGCATTTTAGGCAGCCAATCTATATTGTAAGTGCTACTTTGCCGTAACATTCTCACCTCACATCACTCTTACTCTAACTCGCACTCCCACCCCCACTCCCACTCCTAGTCCTGTTCCCAAAAAGCCAAAGAAGAAAGTTTCATTGTTCTAACTTCAAAAACCACGAATTTCCATACAAAGTTTCATCTTCTTTCAACCCTTTTTTGGCATTAAAAAGTACATCTCATCAGGCTCTAAAATATCTGTGTACCAAATTTCACTTAAATCAGTTCAGGAGTTTCGGAGTTAAAGCCGGACAGACAGACATACTTTCACATTTATAATATTAGTATAGATTGTTATTTTGTTTTCCTTTTTCTTTATACAATGTTTGCCTTAAAGAAATCACTATAGCCGTTAAGGCCGCCTTTGCACTAACTCTTTTGTGTAAATTATTAATTTAAGATTACTATATTTATATTTTATTTGTTTGTGCAATATAGTATTTTATTATTATAATAAATTAATACATTTATTTCGTTTATCGAGTTTGCACACACTATGGACCGAATAGGATCAATAATAATTAGCCAAAGCAGATAGCAATTAACCGGTTTTAGATTTAACTTTTATTCTAAGATGTGGGTTGAAATTGTTAGAGTCTGATGAAGTGATTAAAACGAAATACGTCTGTGACACAATTATGCCGCCAAAATAGCTCACATGACAGCCGTCTTGTTGTCGCTCTTTTAACCAAGAAACAAAAATAAATGGCTTATTTTAAACACAAATATGAATGTATTTAGCTAAAATTACACCAAGTTAATCGGGAAACTTTTTGTGATCTTTCTTGCAAATTACGTTACAAAAACGCAGATTATGGACAGTTAAATATATGTAGTATTTAAAAATAAAAAATATTTGTGGAGAGCTCGTACCGATTTTAAACTCGTTACTATCTTGTAATTATTGAGTCGTTCGTAATAGGTTTAATTTAAGTGCACGACTGTACTACGAACACGTCACGAAGTCACATTAGCCGTGCCGTACTACCGACGACACTTCGCAATTTGAAACGTCGTGCCGTAGTTAAAATAAATAAAAATTAAGCTATCGAATCTATTTCGTATTTAAATAAAACACTTTAACGGTTTAAAACGCGATATATTAGTTAAACTTATTTGAAAATGATTTTTAACTTCGGCCTGACATTTCGGATGCTTTGCAGCAGCCGTGATCACGGGGAGACTGTTAAAACTATTTTATTTGAATATGAACTCGCGTACACTACAGAGGATATGGAATAAAACAATGTAATGACATGAAAGAGCTGAAAACCCTAGCACAGGTAATATTTAGTAAGGATTTCCAGATTAAAATACGATTCATATTTAAATAAAACACTTTAACGGTTTAAAACGCGATATATATTAATTTAATTTATTTGAAAATTATTTTCAATACAGCTCGATGTTTCGGATGCAGCAGTCGTACTACTCGCGTAAACTACAGACAGTATTTAATAAAATCGATGTACAAAATTTGTAACTTGAATAAATACTTTTTTATTTAATTA